GCTGTCCAACGATTAAAATATTTAATCGCGATTAATCGCATGAATTTCATAGTTAACTCGCGATTAATCGCAAATTAGTCACCCATTTGCGTGCTGTGTGCAATTGCTTTTTTTATTGAAAACAATGTGTAGTGTTATATTACACACTAACATTTGATGCAAAATCATCAATAAATGGATGACAAAATAAATAATTGGTAACAAAAAGCCCCTTCAATGTGTGTGTGGAGTGTGTGTGTTTATGGGTGTGGGTGTGTGTGTGTATGTGTGGGTATAGACCATAGACTGTATAGAAACATCATGGTGTCATTATGATGATGATAAACAATTTTTTTGTAAATTTGTTCATGTAAATACTCTATGCTATTTCTCTGTTTACCTTCGGTATATCTATGACTGTATACTGTTTGCTTGTATTGCCTTTTTTATTAACCCCTCCCCCCCATCTCCCACTTCATGTCCCCCCCCCTCCTATGTGCCCTTCTGGGTTTCTTCTTTGGCCCCCTGTATCTCCAACTACATATTGTTTGTAATCTCTGTCTACAATGTATCTTAACTAGTCCTTTTCTTTGTGTCTATTTTTTTCTGTATATGTGTTTGTCTGCAATAAAAAGTAAAAAAAAAAAAAAAATTAATGGCGATAAATAAAATGACGCCGTTAATATTGATTTGCGTTAACGCGTTAATAACGCGATATTTTGGACAGCACTAGTCCTAACGCTTCAGAAGGCTCGGTCCTAACGCTTCAGAAGGCTCGGTCCTAACGCTTCAAAAGACTCGGTCCTAACGCTTCAAAAGACTCGGTCCTAACGCTTCAGAAGACTCGGTCCTAACGCTTCAGGAGGCTCGGTCCTAACGCTTCAGAAGGCTCGGTCCTAACGCTTCAGAAGACTCGGTCCTAACGCTTCAGAAGGCTCGGTCCTAACGCTTCAGAAGGCTCGGTTCTAACGGTTCAGATTACAGATTGTAATTTGTACAGATTACAAATTACAGCCCTGAAATATAGAAACATCTCAGACCATAGAGAGACCAGAAAGAGAGACTAGAGAGAGACCAAATTATCCATTACAGCCCAGAAACACAGAAACACCACAGTCGGTCATTGTTGTGATGATTATTCTTGTTGTCCTGCCATCAATGGTCCCTCTCCATGGGGGGCTTCCACTGTGCTCTGGCTGCCCCCCCTGACAGACCAATCGAGTGTGATGTGTATGACATCACGGCTGATATGGGGGGGTCTCTCTGTCTGTGGCCTCTCTCTCTGCCCACACCATATTCTTCTGTGTATGTACGGTTTGTCTTCTGTGGTCTCTGTATATATCTTGTAGCTGTTTAGTGTCTTTTATATACATCTGGTTTATGTCTAATATATTAAGGTTTGGTTGGTTTGGTTTGGAAGGGCGATAGTAGCTCAGTTGGTAGAGCATTGGCCTTAAGGCCAGAAGGTTGTGGGTTCAATTCCCACCTCTGCACCTTCTCCACCGACTCCCACTGATGACTGCTGTCGTTGTGTCCTTGGGCAAGACACTTAACCCCACTTTGCCCAAAGCCCCCACTGAAAGATCAAGGCTATGCTCACACTCAGCCGTCCTCCTGTGGACTCACCACCTGCAGAGGGTCAGTGAGGGGCTGGTGCTATGAGACTAGGGTGGCATCTCTGATTGCCACCCCCCTGACCCAGGAATGGATTAAAGGGTAGAAAATGGATGGATGGATGGATATTAAGGTTTGGCCTCTCCGTCCTCTCTCGCGGCACTCACCGGTGAGAGCCTCTTGATAGAGCTGCACGAAGTGTTTGAAGACGTCTTTGGGGAGAGTTTTCTCTTCGGGGAGGCACTGGAGCAGGATCACCACCTCGGCCTGTCCCACTGCGTGCATTCCCTTTGTGCTCAGGTACCAGCACTTCCTGTTCACATCTGCAGAACACACAGCACTTTATACACACAAGCACTTACACCAGTTGTGTGTCAGAGAAGTCTGGTAACAGCACTATTGTCTCCGCTTCTTACTTTCTCTGTCTTCAGCTGTAGTCTGTTCACTGCTATTCACCCGCTGTAGCCATTGTCTGTTTCATAGTCTGATGATGGGACCAGTCCTGGATCTACAGTCTCAGTCCTGGATCTACAGCCTCAGTCCTGGATCTACAGCCTCAGTCCTGGATCTACAGCCTCAGTCCTGGATCTACAGCTTCAGTCCTGGATCTACAGTGTCAGTCCTGGATCTACAGCTTCAGTCCTGGATCTACAGCCTCAGTCCTGGATCTACAGCCTCAGTCCTGGATCTACAGCTTCAGTCCTGGATCTACAGTCTCAGTCCTGGATCTACAGCCTCAGTCCTGGATCTACAGCCTTAGTCCTGGATCTACAGCCTCAGTCCTGGATCTACAGCCTCAGTCCTGGATCTACAGCCTTAGTCCTGGATCTACAGCCTCAGTCCTGGATCTACAGCCTCAGTCCTGGATCTACAGCTTCAGTCACTGATCTTGAGTCTCAGGCCTGTATCTACAGCTTGTCCGTCCGTAGGAATGGCTCCTTGTTGATGCATGAGGGTCTAGGGACAGTGTTGATCCGGCACATTTACCGATATTTATGTGTTTGTTATTATTGAATTTATTTGTGTTCCAACTTTTTGATTCTCTGATCTGTTGTTGACAAACTTGACAATTCTGTAAAGTCCTCCAAGACGACTGTTGTTGTGATTTAGTGCGATACAGAAATACATTGAATTGAATTGAAGTGATATGATTCAGTTTCCGCTAGTGCTTAGTAAATGTTTGTGTGACTCACAGTTGACCAGTTTGACCATCGCCAGCAGGTTTGCATTGAGCACAAACACCAGAGGGTCCGGTCCTCCCTCCTCCAGCTGCTGCATCAGGACCACCTCCGCCGGCCGCTCCTCCACCGCGTAGTCTGCAAGGACACAGGCGAGGAGCAGACAGGGTCAAACCTATGGAAACTACCTGAACTCTGCACATGTGGTTTTACTGCAAATGGCAAAGAAACGGGATCTGATTTTAACATTCACAGCAGCTTTCCGAGGACCTTTCACTCCCTCCTCATTCTCGTCCTCCATACAGAATCTGAATCACTATCTACAGTAGCTGCTCCTTGAACTCTCCACCGGTGTTCCCCAAGGTTCAGTAATCGGCCCTTTCCTCTTCATCATCTACATACTTACCCTTCAAAATCTTTTCTATTTTTAAACATTGATATCATGTAAATAAGAATCTGTTCCCCTGTGAAGAGGCAGGGTTTATCAAATCTGCTGTTTTTATAATAAAAAGTCAATGCACAAGTTGTCAATTCAGAGATTTGCAGAGGTTTGTGTGTCGTGAACATAGACATAGAGTGGAGGGACCGAGTGCTGGGTTAGAGTTAGACGCAGATATGGCAGAGATCCTTTAAGTAAAGTCCATGATCATAAAAGAACCTGGATGTTTCCATGTGAACAGTGCAGAGATGAAGCATGAGTCATGATAGAGCAACCGACACCATAAACACACAGACACACACAGACACACACAGGCACTGAGACACACACACACAGACACTAGAGCTGCAACTAACGATTATTTTGTAATCGATTAATCTATCGATTATTTTTACAATTAATCGAGTAATTGCTTGGCTGTGAATTGTGTAGAAAAAAAATATTTTTTCATCACAAAAAGCTAAAGTGGCAACACTCAAGGACGTATTGATGGCGTAAACTTAGAGCCTGTTACAAACATTTACTTTTTGTGCTAATTCTGCTATCTGATTGGATGAGACAGACAGATTATTATAGAAATTATAAAAACAAAGTCGGTTTTAATCAAAAATACTACATTTTCATGTCATTTTTGCTCTGTTTGAGTCCGTGTGAACCAGAAAACAATTAATCGATTACTAAAATAGTTGTCGACTATTTCTATAATCGATTAGTCGCCGATTAATCGATTAGTTGTTTCAGCTCTAACAGACACACACAGGCACTGAGACACACACACACAGACACACACAGGCACTGAGACACACACACACAGACACACACAGGCACTGAGACACACACACACAGACACACACTGACGCAAACACACAGGCACTGAGACACACACACACACACACAGGCACTGAGACACACACACACACACACAGGCACTGAGACACACACACAGACACACACAGGCACGCACTAAGACACACACACATACACACATGCACTAAAGCATACATACACACACACACACACAGGCATGCACTAAGCAACACATACATACACTCGCACACAGAGACGCACACACATACAGAAATGCGCACACACAGCACACAAACGCTCACACACACACGAACAGACACAAACCACCTCACACAGACATGCACACACACACACGCAGGCATACACTAACTGCTAATTTACACATCACGCGTTACAACACGTATGCGTTATACGCGCAGCAGACGCGCGTAACTTGTTTCCATGTTAACCTATGATGATATTTACACTTCTAGCGTTATACGTGTGTATGACGGACATGTGACGCGAAGCTGCGCTCTAATTTAGGATGGATTTCTAATTTTGTGCGCGCACCAACGCGTCTCCCATTGAAATCTCATGTAAAACATGATTTTTCTAGCGGCCCTTGGCTTTAGATCACATCTACGCACACTGCACTTGTATCTAAACATCAGCAGGAGGAGCAGCAGGTTTTACAGTGATTCTGGACATCGTTTTTTTTCTTTCATAAAGTCTCGCGTCTGGCCAAACCAGCGCACAGAGACCATGAAGACAAACACATGCATGTGGTTTGTGTTGCTCTACATCAGTCTCTGTACTGTCCTCTACACTGCTCCACAGACTACACAGGGTGAGCATCAGAAGCCGCGGACCTGCGCACACGGCCTGTGTAGATACTCCAAAAACATGTTACGCGCAGAGAGCGCGCAGTAAACGCGTACGCGCTGTTTACGCCTACTGTGTAAATCCCCCGTAAGACGCACATACATACATACGTACGCACACACTGACGCACACACTCACATACACACACGCACACACAGAAATGCACACACACAGCACATGCACACAAACACACACACACACACACACAAACGCACTCACACACGCACACACACAGACACACACACACACACCCCCAAACACACACACACATACACTCACATACACATACACACACCCAAACGAAATCACACACACAAACAGACACACACACACACACAGACACACACACACACACACACACAGGCGGTGGATGGAGGATGAGTGAAGCACCTGGGGTGAGGGGGCCTCCCGTACCTCCTTTGACTCCGGTGGAGATGAGGATGGGAGGAAGACCGTCCTCTGGGATCAGACTGACGGAGCTGCCCACAGGACTGCCACCAGGGGGCGCTCCGCACTGGGACATCTGCCAACAGAGCACAACGGGTCACTACTCCTCAGACCACCTGTACTTAAGTGAACCAGAAACTCTTACCTTGATTTTGATTGCTTCTACCTATTCCTTTTTCAATCATCAAACAAAGTCACTTTAGTTTTTAAATTAAAAGAACTAAGAACTATTTTTCATTTTCAAATCTTCTGTGAATTCATTCCACAATCTAACTCCAAGAACAGAAACACACCTGGATTCACATTAGTTCTTGCTCATAAATAATCATCCATGATCTTGGACATTTATAGCCTGGTCGTACCACACCATAGTACAAATTACATGAGTTCTGTTAACAGGTGGGAGGGGTTAGCAGTTAGCCGAGCTTTAACGTTTAGCATTTAGCCTAGCTTTAGCCATCTCCTTTGCTGCTGACGGAGCCCGTGGGGAGAAGTGCCACAATCTTTGCCAGCAATAACATTTGCTAAACATTCCTCTTGCTCTGGCTTCAATTTCTTGATAGAACCAGACCAGAATACTTTACTATTGCATTCTTCGCCAAACTACAACCTGCCCGTTCGCCGCAAACTCTTGACGTCCCCCACATCCAACTACAAACACCCGCCTCCTGCGCTCGCTGATTGGTCTGAGGGGATTCAACTGATTGTATTCGCAAACACAGGGAGCAGACCCAGACGTTACATGCAGGACATGATGGTTGAGCAGAGAGTACGGAAGGATAAGGCCAGGCTAGGACATTTATGGACATTTATTAAAGTATGTACAGTGGTCATCCTGCTCCCTTTGGACCAATGGCTCTATGTGTTTGTCAGATTAAATAACATGGTGGTTTTCTTCAGGTATAATTTGCTATCGTATCCAAATACCATTAATTCTGTAACTTAATATAATCATTTAAAATCATTTCAGGGGCCACTGAAAATAGTCTTGGGCCTGAGTTTGACATGTCTGCTCTCTTGTATCGATATAACTGTGTGTGTAAAATACTGAACATAATCAGATAATTTCTTCCCCAGCCCTGACATGGTGCGTACCTCGGAGCTGACCTTGCGGCTCTGTGACGGCGGCTGGTGAGAGGACAGAGGTGCAGGGGCCTCTGAGGTCTCGCCGTTTGGCAAAGAGCTGTCGGAGAACCACACCCTCCTCTGCTCCCGGGACAGAGACGCTGCTGGAGACACACACAGTGAAAAGGTTCAACTCTCATTCATAGACGAGCTCCGTAAAGCTGGTTGCTAGTACAGGGTTGGACCCCCTTTTGCCTTTAAAACCCTAACCCTTAATCCTTGGTGGCATAGATTCAACAAGGTACTGGACACATTCCACAGAGAGGTTGGTCCATATTTGATGCAGTTTCTGCAGATTTGTCGCTGCACATCCATCATGCTCCTGTTCCATCCCAAAGTGTCTCTATTGGACTGAGATCTGTGACTGTGGAGGCCATTACAGTGCAGTGAACTTTTTACTGACAGCAATACTGACCGCAATCTGAAATACGGGAAAACAAAAAAGGAGGAGGCTTAGCTGCCATTTTTAGAGACCCCTTTGTCTCCCATAGAATGTCTCTTGGGAAGTTTTCGTCATTTGAATATGTGTCTTTTAAAATACAACAAAAACAATCTCCTCCAATACTCTTTGTTGTCCTATACAAGCCACCGCAGTCATGTCACAGTTTTATTGATCATTTTACCGAGTTGCTTTCAGTTGTATGCACAGATTTTGATAGTTTGGTTATTACAGGTGATTTTAATATTCATGTGGATAATGTTGATGACAGAAATGCAAATGAGCTGAGTTCTGTACTTGAATCCTTTGATCTCACTCAGCACGTAAGTGGCCCCACCCACAGCAGAGGGCACACTCTAGATCTGTTAGTTACTAAGGGGGTGAATATTTCAAATGTAAACGTGGTCGATGTTGCTCTTTCGGATCATTTCTGTGTTTTTTTTGACATGTGTTTCACTAACAAACCACCAGTGGACTCTGCAACTGTTCGAAGAAGGCGCATAAATGAAAATACGAGTGAACTATTTATGGAAATGATAAACTTTGAGAATGCATCGTATTCTACTGTAGATGAACTGTTTAACTCTGTCACCTCTAGTGTTTTGAATGTTCTGGATACCGTTGCCCCTGTGAAGGTTAAAATAGTGAAAAATAAGCAGAAGGCGCCGTGGGCTAAAGCAGACTCGGTCAGGGCACAAAAGAGAAAGTGCCGGCGGGCCGAGCGGAAGTGGCGCAAGTCCAACCTCCAGGTAGATTACGAGATCTTCAAAGATAAGTTGTGCGAGTTTAACCAGGTGCTACGTAGTACGAGAGAAAGGTATTTTTCTGAAATGATTGAAGGCTGCAGCAACAATCTGCGTGTTCTGTTCTCAACAGTTAATAGATTAACAAACCCCCCTGTTCAAATGCTATTAGAGCTTACTTCCAAACGTAAATGCAATGAGTTTGCTAATTTTTTCAATGACAAGGTTCAAGGCATCAAAAACGCCATTGTCTCCAATCCACAGATAACAATCCAACAGCCAGAAAGGCTCTTTGAGCTAACTCACTTTGCACCTGTAAATGATAAAACTGTCCAAGAGATAATCTCCAGTTTGAGCTCCTCCACATGCAGCTTGGATGTACTACCCACTAGATTTCTGAAGTCTGTTCTGAGCAGTCTGTTACCTTCACTCACACAGATTGTAAACATGTCCCTTCATTCTGGAATATTCCCAAAGGCCCTGAAAACTGCAGTCATCAGGCCCCTGCTAAAAAAGAGCAGTCTGGATGCTACTGTACTTAACAACTATTGTTCCATCTCAAATCTGCCATTTATGGGGAAAGTCCTTGAGAAAGTTGTCTACCTACAGCTTACTAGATTTCTTATAATCAACAACTCATTTGATATGTTTCAGTCCGGCTTTAGACCCCACCACAGCACTGAGACTGCTCTCGTTAAGGTTACAAACGATATCCGGCTGAACACTGACGCAGGCAAAGTCTCAATCTTAATCTTGTTAGATCTAAGTGCTGCCTTTGACACCGTCGACCATGAGATCCTCTTACAGAGACTAGAGGACTGGGTTGGCGTCACTGGCACCGCCCCAAGTTGGTTTAGGTCTTACCTTGAAGACAGGAAGTACTTTGTGGAGATTGGAAACTGTGTCTCAGATCATATGGCCCTGACCTGTGGAGTCCCACAGGGGTCGATCCTGGGACCTCTTCTGTTCAATCTCTACATGCTGCCGTTAGGTCAGTTAATACGCAGAAACAAAGTTTCCTATCACAACTATGCAGACGACACTCAGATCTATGTCTCACTGACTGCAGGAGAACATGGACCAGTGGACTCACTCCTTCACTGTATCCAACAGATCAGTGAGTGGATGCAAAACAACTTCCTTCAGCTAAACGCAGACAAAACTGAAATGATTGTCTTTGGTCCCCAGAAACAAAGAGAGAGCGTCATCTGTCACCTACAGTCTCTCTCCCTAAAACCTTCAAACAAGGTCAGAAATCTAGGGGTAATACTGGACTCAGACTTAAATTTTAATAGCCACATCAAATCAGTAACATCAGCAGCTTTTTACCATCTAAAAAACATTGCCAGGATCAAAAACATAGTGTCTAAAGCAGACCTGGAGATTCTTATCCATGCATTTGTCTCCAGTAGGTTAGACTACTGCAATGGCCTGCTCACAGGTCTGTCCAAACAGGCTGTAAAACAACTGCAGTACATTCAAAATGCAGCAGCTCCAGTCCTGACTAGAACCAGGAAGTACGACCACATTAGTCCAGTTCTCAGGTCTCTGCTAGAGCTGAAACAACTAATCGATTTAATCGATTAAAATCGATTATTAAAATAGTTGTCAACTAATTTAGTCATCGATTAGTTGCTAAATAACTTTTATTTTGCCGTAAGCGGCTCATTTCGTGCATATTTTAACTCTGCGGTGACCAAATGGTGGCAGTAATGAGCCACCGGAGGTTTTACAGCAGGAGAAGTAGCGAATAGCCAATAGCTGGCCTCCTTTTATGTCACATGCTTCGCGCACAGCTTCTCTTCAGCATACAGCAAGATGGCGGAGGCAAGCGGCAGTGGAGTAAGCTCGAGAAAGAAAAGGAAAAAAGCAGAAGACAAACCTAATCGAACGAAGTCATCCAAAGTGTGGGAGCACTTTACTTTGAACCTTCAAAAAAGAAGAGTAACCTGTAAACTCTGCGCTACTGACTTGGCCTGGCACGGGAGTACTACGTCTCTGCGTGAGCACCTTAAACCATCTCTCTGCAGTACTGACTGTTTGCAAAAGATGGCGCCACACTCACTGTTTTAGGCATAAAGTTGATCTTTCAAATAATTTGCACAAAGATGTAAAAAAAAAAAAACATTTATCAGTTTATCAACTTAAATAAGCCTTGTTCGGGATTTTAAACTACTTCAGAAGCCCTAAGGATTTTCATGGTGAAAACATTATTGGAAATCTCCTTGTGAAATTTGCTAGAGTATGTAACGGTCAGTGTTTTGTTTTGATGGTCAACATTGAGTTCACTAAAGGATTACAAAGACATAATAAACAGCTCCAGTTAAGTTTTTGATGTGGATATGAATATGTAAAATGGTTAAAATCTCTAAAAAGTCTATGTTGAATGATGAAGGCCCTTTGTTAACAATTTACTTGGAAAAAAATTGGCAAAACTAAAATATAAGTACATAAACCGATTAATCGATTAATCGTAAAAATAATCGCCTGATTAATCGATTATCTAAATAATCGTTAGTTGCAGCCCTAGTCTCTGCACTGGCTTCCTGTGGCTCAGAGAATAGACTTTAAAACAGCTCTGCTTGTGTACAAGTCTCTACATGGCCTCGCACCAAAATATATTAGTGACATGTTAGTCCCATATGAACCAGCCCGGACTCTGAGGAGCACAGGGACTGGACTCCTGTTAGTGCCCAGAGTCAGGACTAAACATGGGGAGGCTGCTTTTCAGATTCATGCTGCTAAAATCTGGAACAGTCTTCCTGAAGATGTGAGACAGGCCTCCTCTCTGACAATGTTTAAAACCAGGTTAAAGACAGTTCTGTTTAACTGTGCATACAACTGAGGGATTTTATATTTTTATCTTTCTTTTTAATGTTCTGTGATAATTTATGATTTTAATGCTTTCTTGTTTTGTTCAGCACTTTGAATTGCCTTGTGTATGAATTGTGCTATATAAATAAACTTGCCCTTGCCTTGCCAGCATTGTGGATAAACCATGGATCTATAATAACCACGGGACAAACAGACGCTGAGGATCAGGTATGAACCAAAGAACACAATTCACTACATGAGGCGGGATATTGCTCTTTGATACGTGAGTCAAACAGTGTCAGGCTTTTAATAATGCAAATGATTTAAAGATACTGCCATTAACATCACTGTATACTGTGAACAGTTTTAACTCCATAAGCCTGTTGCACAGTGTCTCCTCACTGCTCCAGGTCTGCACACGGCTCAGTGTTGTTAGCAGCGTTAGCATCATAGTTAGCAGCATAGTTAGCAGCATAGTTAGCCGCTGCGTGGCTAATTCCACAGTTTCTGTCTGTGGCTTGTTAAGCCCAAAAAATGCGCACGTATCTTGGAGTTGTGTCAGATCGGCACCGGATGTATTCAGACCTGATTCGACTTGGACCAGAATTCGTTTGGAAGCGGACCGAGACCACCTAAAGTGGGTCTCGGTTCGGTTCTTTGGTCCGGACCAGGATTAGTTTGTGTGTATTCAGACCTGCATAAAAGCTTCGGATCAGAGTTCCAAACGAATCCTGGTCCGTTTAAAGTGGAGCAAATGTGCAGGTCTGAATACACCCTTATTTTCATGTTCAAGAAACCAGTCTGTGATGATTTGAGCTTCATGACCAAGTGTTTTATCTGCTGGAAGTAGCATCAGAAGATGGTACACCGTGGTCATAAACGACATGGTCAGCAACAATACTCTGTGGGCTGTGGCAACGATACTCAATTGGTGCTAAGGGACTCAAAGAGTGCCAAGAAAATATCCCCCACCACCCGACCCCCCCACCACCATGACCCCCCCCACCACCATGACCCCCCACCACCATGACCCCCCACCACCATGACCCCCCACCACCATGACCCCCCCACCACCATGACCCCCCCACCACCATGACCCCCCACCACCATGACCCCCCCACCACCATGACCCCCCACCACCATAACCCCCCACCACCATGACCCCCCCACCACCATAACCCCCCACCACCATGACCCCCCACCACCATGACCCCCCCACCACCATGACCCCCCCCACCACCATGACCCCCCCACCATGACCCCCCCACCACCATGACCCCCCCACCACCATGACCCCCCCACCACCATGACCCCCCACCACCATGACCCCCCCACCACCATGACCCCCCCTCCACCATGACCCCCCCACCACTATGACCCCCCACCACCCGACCCCCCCACCACCATGACCCCCCCACCACCATGACCCCCCACCACCATGACCCCCCACCACCGTGACCCCCCCACCACCATGACCCCCCCACCACCATGACCCCCCCACCACCATGACCCCCCCACCACCATGACCCCCCCACCACCATGACCCCCCCACCACCATAACCCCCCACCACCATGACCCCCCCACCACCATAACCCCCCACCACCATGACCCCCCCACCACCATAACCCCCCACCACCATGACCCCCCACCACCATGACCCCCACCACCATGACCCCCCACCACCATGACCCCCCCACCACCATGACCCCCCACCACCATAACCCCCCACCACCATGACCCCCCCACCACCATGACCCCCCCACCACCATAACCCCCCACCACTATGACCCCCCACCACCATGACCCCCCACCACCATGACCCCCACCACCATGACCCCCCCACCACCATGACCCCCCACCACCATGACCCCCCCACCACCATAACCCCCCCACCACCATGACCCCCCCACCACCATAACCCCCCACCACCATGACCCCCCACCACCATAACCCCCCACCACCATGACCCCCCCACCACCATGACCCCCCACCACCATGACCCCCCCACCACCATGACCCCCCACCACCATGACCCCCCCACCACCATGACCCCCCACCACCATGACCCCCCCACCACCATGACCCCCCACCACCATGACCCCCCCACCACCATGACCCCCCACCACCATAACCCCCCACCACCATGACCCCCCCACCACCATAACCCCCCACCACCATGACCCCCCCACCACCATGACCCCCCACCACCATGACCCCCCCACCACCATGACCCCCCACCACCATGACCCCCCCACCACCATGACCCCCCACCACTATGACCCCCCACCACCCGACCCCCCCACCACCATGACCCCCCACCACCATGACCCCCCACCACCATGACCCCCCACCACCCGACCCCCCCACCACCATGACCCCCCACCACCCGACCCCCCCACCACCATGACCCCCCCACCACTATGACCCCCCACCCCACCATGACCCCCCACCACCATGACCCCCCACCACCATGACCCCCCCCACCACCATGACCCCCCACCACCATGACCCCCCACCACCATGACCCCCCACCACCATGACCCCCCACCACCCGACCCCCCCACCACCATGACCCCCACCACCACCCCGACCCCCCCCCCACCACCATGACCCCCCACCACCATGACCCCCCACCACCATGACCCCCCACCACCATGACCCCCCCACCACCCGACCCCCCCACCACCATGACCCCCCCCACCACCATGACCCCCCCACCACCATGACCCCCCCACCACCATGACCCCCCACCACCATGACCCCCCCACCACCATGACCCCCCCACCACCATGACCCCCCACCACTATGACCCCCCACCACCATGACCCCCCCACCACCATGACCCCCCACCACCATGACCCCCCACCACCATGACCCCCCACCACCATGACCCCCCCACCACCATGACCCCCCACCACCATGACCCCCCACCACCATGACCCCCACCACCATGACCCCCCCACCACCATGACCCCCCCACCACCATAACCCCCCACCACTATGACCCCCCCACCACCATGACCCCCCACCACCATGACCCCCACCACCATGACCCCCCCACCACCATGACCCCCCACCACCATGACCCCCCACCACCCGACCCCCCCACCACCATGACCCCCCACCACCATGACCCCCCACCACCATGACCCCCCACCACCCGACCCCCCCACCACCATGACCCCCCACCACCATGACCCCCCCACCACCATGACCCCCCCACCACCATGACCCCCCCACCACCATGACCCCCCACCACCATGACCCCCCCACCTGTGGGGGGGTGTTTCAACTTCCTGTGTTTCAACTGTTCGATTCTCTGACACAGACGGACAATTTGAAGGTGAAGCAGACACAGACAGTTTTAACCCAGAGAAAGAACAAGAATCAGATTGAGATCAGTATTTAGTCTATAATAACTACTGTTGTGATTTAGGGATAAACTAATTGAATTGGATCTGTCTCTGTGCATTGATCGCTCACACTTACTATAAATCAGTTCATCTTATTAGTTTAATGTGTGCAGTCTGAGAGCTTTAATCTTCATTTCTGATTACTGAACATTTCCTTCTTTCTCTACTGCAATGTGCGCAACGATGACACTGAATATTATCTTATCTTAATGAGTCATCAGAGGCCAAACCAAGAGCTGCACAAAGTTTCAGGAGTTTTTGGAGGTGTGTGCATCATGGGTTCGGGTCCCGTACCTTCAGCCTGCTTGAGCACGCCCACTGGGACCATGACCGTGGGAGGGGGAGAGCCCAGCGCCCCCGAGGCCTGGGCCTGCTGCAGGGGGGGCACCGTGGAGCAGTACTCGGACGGGTTGTTAGGGTTCGGACTCTGGTTACTGGGGCAAACCTGTGTCTCCCATGACGACGGCGCTGAAGCAGAGAACACAGGAACGTGAGATAAAAATACAAGGAAATATGAAAACAGTGGTCTCTGTCTGTTTCTCATACTCAACATCATATAAACCCTGGTACAACAGTTAGTCAGAAGAAAACTTTTATGGCTCTCTCTGGTCTCTCTGGGCTTCCTTTAGTCTCCCTCTGGTCTCCCTCTGGTCTCTCTCTCTCTGGTCTCTCTCTGGTCTCTCTCTGGTCTCTCTCTGGTCTCTCTCTGGTGTCTCTCTGGTGTCTCTCTGGTCTCTCTGGTCTCTCTGGTCTCTCTGGTCTCTCTGGTCTCTCTCTGGTCTCTCTCTGGTCTCTCTCTGGTCTCTCTCTGGTCTCTCTCTGTTCTCTCTCTGGTCTCTCTCTGGTCTCTCTCTGGTCTCTCTCTGGTCTCTCTCTGGTCTCTCTCTGGTCTCTCTCTGGTGTCTCTCTGGTCTCTCTGGTCTCTCTGGTCTCTCTGGTCTCTCTGGTCTCTCTCTGGTCTCTCTCTGGTCTCTTTCTGGTCTCTCTCTGGTCTCTCGCTTTGGTCTCTCGCTTTGGTCTCTCTTTGTTCTCTCTCCTGGGTCTCTCTTTGTGGAGACAAGCGAAACCAGAGAGGCAAGAGAGAGACAAGAGAGAGACCACAGAGAGACCAGAGAGAGAGACCAGAGAGAGACCAGAGAGAGACCAGAGAGAGACCAGAGAAAGACCAGAGGGGGGCCAGAGAGAGAGTCCTCAGTGACATAGGAGTTCATGTTTTCCTGAACTGAAATCCTTGAAAAACATGTTAAACGCTTCAGTTTCTGTGGTTCTTTCAGCGTGTCTCTCCTGCTGCACTCACCGCTGGTCAGAGTGGAATGACAGGTCACACAAACTCGCGCCTCTTTTCTGTCCATGTACAAGAGTCTGCATTTCAGACTGCAGCACGACGCACAGAACACCTGAAAACCACAGAAAACATGATAAATCAACCTTTATATCTATAACACTTTCCATGAAAGAACTGCAACACACTGCTTTAAAGTTTGGTTAAAAACAGGCCCAGCCCAAACCATATTTATTATTAAGTTTAAACACACATATATACACACGCACACACTGACACACACACACGAGGACACGCAGACACACATACAGAGAGAGAGACACACACGTATACACACAGATCATCAGATGGGTAAAAAAGGTGAATCATGAAGCTATAGATGTAGCCAGCTGAAGAAGCACCATCTAAGGAGCCGTCTGCACCAGGAGCACAGAGCCGCCAGCAGCCACAGGGGGCGCCACAGGACCCAGAGGAGAGAGAAGGCCCCAGACCCCACCAGGTCCAGGAGCCAGACCCCCACACCGACCACCGCTCCCAGTGCAGAGGGCTCTTCCAGACGAAACACTGGGGACACTAAACAATACAATAAAAAGGATAATATTGAAATGTCAGAGTAAAAGGACAGTAGCACAGGAACATGCTACAGTAACATGCTGCAGGAACATGCTACAGTAACATGCTGCAGTAACATGCTGCAGGAACATGCTGCAGGAACATGCTACAGTAACATGCTGCAGTAACATGCTGCAGGAACATGCTGCAGTAACATGCTGCAGTAACATGCTGCAGTAACATGCTGCAGTAACATGCTGCAGTAACATGCTACAGTAACATGCTGCAGTAACATGCTGCAGTAACACGCTACAGTAACACGCTACAGTAACATGCTGCAGTAACACGCTGCAGTAACATGCTACAGTAACATGCTGCAGTAACATGCTGCAGTAACATGCTACAGTAACATGCTGCAGTAACATGCTACAGTAACACGCTGCAGTAACACGCTACAGTAACACGCTGCAGTAACATGCTGCAGTAACATGCTGCAGTAACATGCTGCAGTAACACGCTACAGTAACACGCTACAGTAACACGCTGCAGTAACACGCTGCAGTAACACGCTGCAGTAACACGCTGCAGTAACACGCTACAGTAACACGCTACAGTAACACGCTACAGTAACACGCTACAGTAACACGCTGCAGTAACGTGCTGCAGTAATGTGCTACAGTAACGTGCTGCAGTAACGTGCTGCAGTAACGTGCTGCAGTAACATGCTACAGTAACATGCTACAGTAACATGCTACAGTAACATGCTACAGTAACATGCTACAGTAACACGCTGCAGTAACACGCTACAGTAACACGCTGCAGTAACACGCTACAGTAACACGCTGCAGTAACACGCTACAGTAACACTCTGCAGTAACATGCTACAGTAACACGCTACAGTAACACGCTACAGTAACACGCTGCAGTAACACGCTACAGTAACACGCTACAGTAACACGCTGCAGTAACACGCTACAGTAACACTCTGCAGTAACATGCTACAGTAACACGCTACAGTAACACGCTACAGTAACATGCTGCAGTAACACGCTGCAGTAACACGCTACAGTAACACGCTACAGTAACACGCTGCAGTAACACGCTGCAGTAACATGCTGCAGTAACATGCTACAGTAACACGCTGCAGTAACATGCTGCAGTAACACGCTGCAGTAACACGCTGCAGTAACATGCTACAGTAACACGCTACAGTAACATGCTACAGTAACATGCTGCAGTAACACGCTGCAGTAACATGCTACAGTAACATGCTGCAGTAACATGCTACAGTAACACGCTGCAGTAACATTCTGCAGTAACACGCTGCAGTAACACGCTGCAGTAACATGCTACAGTAACACGCTACAGTAACATGCTGCAGTAACATGCTGCAGTAACACGCTGCAGTAACATGCTACAGTAACACGCTGCAGTAACACGCTACAGTAACATGCTGCAGTAACATGCTGCAGTAACATGCTACAGTAACACGCTGCAGTAACACGCTGCAGTAACACGCTGCAGTAACACGCTACAGTAACGTGCTGCAGTAACATGCTACAGTAACATGCTACAGTAACATGTTCTTCCAGGAGCAGTTGTAAAGGCTGTGAGCCTCGTCTCTGGATTAGCACAGGTCCATTACATACAACTGTCACTTACATCATACTCAGACACACAGAGAGAAGGAGGCTTTCATTTGAGCACCTCATTAACTGAGATTTTCTATTAGACTTATTGTGGCCGAGAAGGATTCTTCAGGTGAGATCAAATCAAATGTTATCTATAAAGGCATTTTTATACAATCAGTAGCTTAAGCACCGCGCCCTAATCATAATTAGTGAACTCATGGCATAAAAATTGTAAAGTCGAAGCCTGTTTTATTATGAGGAAGTAAATATTTGCTCATGTAGTTTCCATATCACAACAGTGGAGGTTTCTGCGGCTTTATCGTGAATGAGCAGAGAATCTAGGTGTGTGTGTGTGTGTGTATGTGTGTGTGCCTGTGCGTGTGTGAGTGCGTATGTGTCACCAGCTCCTCATGGGAGCTCCTCATGCACACTTTTGTATTGTTGTTGTTGTTGACATTTTTACCATGACGTTAACCTGCCTGTATATGGAGCTGTTGCAGGGTATATAAGAGAGGAGAGAGAGAGAGAGAGATAGAGAGATACCAGAGAGAGGCCAGAGAAAGAGACTAGAAAGAGGCTCGAGAGAGAGAGAGAGAGAGAGAGAGACCAAAGAGACAAAAGAGAGGTGCCAGCGAGAGAGTCCAGAGAGAGAGAGACAAAAGAAAGAACCCAGAGAGAGAGACCAGAGAAAGACTAGTTTGCAGTATTTGCGTTTGGATTTGACATTTTTATCCTAACAATAAACCTGACTGTACTTGAGGCTGTTGTGCAGAGTATCTGACAGGAGAGAGGCCAGAGAGAGAGAGAGAGAGAAAGACGAAAGAGAGAGAGAGAGAGAGAGAGAAAGACGAGAGAGAGAGAGAGCGTTGTGCAGTGTATCTGACAGACTTCACATGTGTGTCTCTGCGGTGTCAGACAGATCTTGCAGAATCAGCGGCTGTCGGCTCAGGCCCACAGTGTTTGTTTACAGCCAGAGAAAAAGAGGAAAGTTCACAGACTCAGAACTGTCAGCGGCCGCAGCAAAAACACAAGACGAGAGAGACCAAGTGAGCCGCGAGGAGGTTCAACTCAGGCGGCTCTCTGGGTCTCAGTGTCTCTGGAATATTATTCAGGCAGTAAACAATTCTACTGCAGTGTCAGAGCCAAATGCACTAGTTTTAAGTTTTATATTTGTCTAATTTCATGTTGGAGCAGGAGCCAATGGATGTTTTTAGATTGTCAGCTTTTTGACAAAATAATTAGATGGTAGTTAGATATGTGCTGAGAGAGAGAGACCAGAGAGAGAGAGCAATGGGACCCTAACCCGAGAGAAAGACCAGAGACAGACCATAGAGACTGGACAAAGACCGAATAGAGAGACCAGAGATAGAGACCATAGTGTATACTGTATGTGCAGAGAGATAGAGAACAAAGAGAGAGACCAGAGAGAGAGACCAGAGAGAGAACAGAGAGAGAACAGAGAGAGAACAGAGAGAGACCAGAGAGAGACCAGAGAGAGACCAGAGAGACCAGAGAGAGACCAGAGAGAGAGAGACCAGAGAGAGACCAGAGAGAGACCAGAGAGAGAGAGACCAGAGAGAGACCAGAGAGAGAGAGAGACCAGAGAGAGACCAGAGAGAGAGAGACCAGAGAGAGACCAGAGAGAGAGAGAGACCAGAGAGAGACCAGAGAGAGAGAGACCAGAGAGAGACCAGAGAGAGAGAGAGAGACCAGAGACAGACCAGAGAGAGAGAGACCAGAGAGAGACCAGAGAGAGAGAGAGACCAGAGAGAGACCAGAGAGAGACCAGAGAGAGAGACCAGAGAGAGAACAGAGAGAGCCCAGAGAGAGAGACCAGAGAGAAAGAGACCAGAGAGAGACCAGAGAGAGACCAGAGAGAAAGAGACCAGAGAGAGAACAGAGAGAGACCAGAGAAAGACCAGAGAGAGACCAGAGAGACCAGAGAGAGACCAGAGAGAGACCAGAGAGAGAGAGACCAGAGAGAGACCAGAGAGAGAGAGAGACCAGAGAGAGACCAGAGAGAGACCAGAGAAAGACCAGAGAGAGACCAGAGAGAGACCAGAGAGAGACCAGAGAGAGAGAGAGACCAGAGAGAGACCAGAGAGAGAGAGACCAGAGAGAGAGAGAGAGACCAGAGAGAGACCAGAGAGGGAACAGAGAGAGACCAGAGAGAGACCAGAAAGAGACCAGAAAGAGACCAAAGAGAGAGACCAGAGAAAGACCAGAAAGAGACCAAAGAGAGAGACCAGAGAAAGACCAGAGAGAGACCAGAGAGAGGGACCAGAGAGAGAGACCAGAGAGGGAGACCAGAGTGAGAGACCAGAGAGACCAGAGAGAGAGACCAGAGTTGATCTGTGCTGACCAAGATATGTAACTCTCTGGGTCTCAGCTCAGTTTCTCTGGAATATTATTTATGCAAAATACAATTCTACTGCAATGTCAGAACCAGATGGACTAGTTTTAAGATTTCAGTTGAAATATAACTCTATGAGAGAGAGAGAGAGAGAGACCAGAAAGAGAGCAGAAAGAGACCATAAAGAGACACTAGAGAGAGACCACAGAGAGACACCAGAAAGAGACACCAGAGAAAGAGAGAAACATGACAAACCAGGGAGAGAGAGACCTCTAAACTCAAATCTGACTTTTGACAGTTACCATAGTTACCAGGAAAGATTTTTCAGCTGCCCTCCACCACCGTGTGAAACTATAAGCTCCTTGGAATGTTGTGATGTCACATGAGCACAACCTACTGATGCAGTCCAGGACCAGATTGTGCCAATAAGATTATCATCCCTACAGTATAGGCTGCATTCATGCGACATCACAACATTCTAAAGATTGTAGTTTCATTTTTCAGCCGCTCATCAACAACTCCCAAAGACAATTACTACCCTCCGAGTCTCCCATCACAATACTGACCGGACCTTACAAATACAGGCGCCACAAATCTTATTTTAAACAAGAAGTTTAGAGTTAATGTGTAATTCCTGGTGTTTCTCTCTGGTCTCACTCTTTTCTCTCTCTTTCTAGTCCCTCTCTGTTTTTGCTTTCTGGTCTCTCTCTGGTCTCTTTCGGCTCTCACTCTTTTCTCTCCTCTGGTCTCTCTCCGGTCCCTCTCTCTCTTTCTGGTCTTTCCTTCTTTAGTCTCACTCTCTGGTCTCACTCTGATCGCTCTCTCTGATCTCTCTCTTTGATATCTCTCTCTGGTCTCTCTCTTTGATATCTCTCTCTGGTCTCTCTCTCTGGTCTCTCTCTGGTCTCTCTCTGGTCTCTCTCTGGTCTCTCCCTGGTCTCTCTCTGTCTCTCTCTCTGGTCTCTCTCTCTGGTCTCTCTCTGGTCTCTCTCTGGTCTCTCTCTGGTCTCTCTCTGGTCTCTCTCTGGTCTCTCTCTGGTCTCTCTCTGTCTCTCTCTGGTCTCTCTCTGGTCTCTCTCTGGTCTCTCTCTGTCTCTCTCTCTGGTCTCTCCCTGGTCTCTCTCTCTCTGGTCTCTCTCTGTCTCTCTCTGGTCTCTCTCTGGTCTCTCTCTGGTCTCTCTCTGTCTCTCTCTCTGGTCTCTCCCTGGTCTCTCTCTCTCTGGTCTCTCTCTGGTCTCTCTCTGGTCTCTCTCTGTCTCTCTCTCTGGTCTCTCTCTGGTCTCTCTCTGGTCTCTCTCTGGTCTCTCTCTGGTCTCTCTCTGGTCTCTCTCTGGTCTCTCTCTGGTCTCTCTCTGGTCTCTCCCTGGTCTCTCTCTGTCTCTCTTTCTGATCCCTCTCACTGGTCTCTCTCAAGCCTCACTCTTTTCGCGCTCTCTCTCTCTGGTCTCTCTCCTCTGATCTCTCTCTCTCTCTCTGGTCTCTCTCTGTCTCTCTCTCTGATCTCTCTCTCTCTCTCTGGTCTCTCTTTGTCTCTCTCTATGATCTCTATCTTTATGATCTCTCCCTCTCAGGCCTCACTCTTTTCTCTCTCTCTTTCTGGTCTCTTTCTGTTTTTTCCTGTCTGGTCTCTTTCTGGTCTCACTCTTTTCTCTCCTCTGCGCTCTCTCTGATAACTCTCTCTCTTTCTAGTCTCACCCCTCTCGCAAAACACATCATCTACAGTCTAATCATTCTCTCATGTGTCTCGCGTCTCGAAATGGTGACAACATTCAAAAACAAGCATGAATTTGTGCAGCAGAACGAACTTCCAATTTCAAAAACAGTATTCTCCATCAAACACACAGAGCATTGCCGATCCCAGCCCTCTCCCTCTGGGCTCGCTCTGGTCTCACCTTGCCACAGGCTCTGCAGTGGTGCCTCCTCTTGGTGAAGGTGAACTTGACGTCACATTTCATACACACAGGGGCTTGCGAGTCAGGAACCCACACCGGGGCCACCTCCCCCAGCCTCCTGCTCTGCTGATCGGCCTGGAGGTCATTATCGGGGCTCTCCGGCAGCACCGCGCTAGCACAGTTAGCATCGTTAGCATCCCCGTTCGTGTCCAGGCTACTCCCGCCGTCCTCCGTCAACTCTCGATTTTCTAGATTTTTGTTTTTGCTGTTCGCCACACATGCTCCTACTTGATTTTGCACATGGCTAGACAGCGGCTGGGGGATTTGTAGTTTGAGATTCACAGGCTGCTTGGGTCGCGCTCCCCCGTACGGTATGCTAACAGGTTGCACGCGGCTATTGCTGGACTTGGCTTGGCTCGCAGCTGCTCCCCCGTCCGGATTCTCCTGCTTGCTTTCCTCCATTTCTTTCTCCTCAGTCACCGAATCCTCTTTGGAAGACGCACAGACGCACAATCCCTCCGTCGGTGGCGTAACGTCGTCAACCAAACCGTCGAATCCGTTGGTTTTGTGACAGTCTTGCGTTGCTTCTCCATTTGAAATCGCTTCGACCTCCTTTTCTACGTCAACGCAGTCTGGTTCATTGCAACTTCCCGCGTTCAATACACACCCATTCTGAGTGGATTCTAACGGCTCTGTAGTGTCGTCGTTCTGCGCTACTATTTCAAAACTAAAACGTGTTGAATTATCTTTATCCTCTTGATCCGGAGTCGTCGATAATCCGTTCCGCACTGGCGCTTCGTCTCGTGGACTTCCATTCTCGCATGTATTAACAGGAGGTGGCGACAAATCATCGGCCCCCACCAGTTTCCCGATATTGGGCTGTGGGAGTGGAGGACTATGGACGTCCGCTGGTCTCTCCTCTCCCCAGGACGAGTGCTCCGAGCTGGGGTGGCGTTTGGGATCGGCCCCTGGGGAGAGGCTGGGGGGTGGGGTGGTGGTGGTGGTTATGTGGGAGTGGGTGAAGTCTGGGGAGAGGGTCTTGAAGGGAAGAGGGCTGTCCCCAGGGCTGAGGTCTGCGTGGGCCAGGGCGGGGTTTAGAGAGAGCAGGTGAGGGGGAGGGGCCAGGATCTGCGTCCACTTAGCGTCAGTGAGAATCGGAGTGTCGGTTTCATCTAGAGGAGAGAGAGAGGAGACAGAGAAGAGAGTTCAGATCATTTATGGCTTTGACATAAAGATTGGTTCAATACTATTTTGGTGCGAGTACTTTGGGGATAGAAAATAAAAGTAGGTGGGCAAGTCGTCAAATAACATGAGTGGGCCAACCAAGTGTGACATCACCATAGTGTTAGCCTAAATGTGTAAGAAGACGATTTGAACATCAGCTAGCTGGAGCAAAAATTCCTTATATGGGCATTTGTTCAGACGGGATTGGCTAAAGTGCAAACAAACATGTTGCTAACATACAGTAGTTCCTATGGCAGGCAGGAGTTTCCCCCGTGAAAGAAGGCTTCTGATTGGTCAACCTTTATGGCTTTATGGGTTTTCGGTTCAGCCAGTGTAGGTCCCATTGGTTTCTTTCTCTATATGTTTAATTTATTTTTTGAGGATACAGGCATCTGGTCCATTCCTATTTGTTTATGATAATTTGTCTACTTCTGGGGTTTAGGGACGTTTTCCCACAATGCTTTAAAAATTGCGTCTGGATACGTCATTGACTGTATCTTTAACCCGTTAAGAGGCTCGATTTATTAACAACTTAAAAGTGATAAGGGATAGAAGCTTTATGTAAATTAAAGACATCATTAAAGACAAGGTTGGCCCAAAGTTTATGTAGGAATAAAATGTACCCATCTCATTTGCATATTATGGCTTCATGGTGGTGGCAATTGTGGATTTTTATGAATTATATATATACTGTATATTGATCACTGACATGAACACACAAACAGAACTCACATTGTACCACACTCAAGGGTCCAGGAAATACAGTAAAAGATCATTGTGTGGCAGCGAGATTGAATGAATTTTGACACAATCGGTCATTTTAAACAGAACCGCATTTGTCAACCGTGGCACCTAGAGGGTTAAGTTCAGTGAAGATTCCATGAGTTCTATTATTATCATTCATTACGTGTTGGTGACCCGTTCGTTGGAGACAGCTTTAAAGACCTTATGCCGGGTTTAAAAAAAAAAAAATTGTGGATATCAAAATTGCATGACTATGTCAATCTGAAATAGATTCTGGCAAAAAAAATCCTATATTTTATAAAAAAAACGTGTCATGAATTTAAGTTGTCTATGCTCTGACCTGTGTGTGACGTCACAGCGGGTTACGCCCATGCATTGAAAACCATGGATCTATGCCACAGGACTGCCTTTTCTCTCTTCTCTCCACTGATGCCCAACACAATACTGCCCTCTACAGGTGACAATTGCTCACTACACATAAATTGCCCTTTTGAGAGTGAAAAAGTGTCTGAGGTGGGATTTGAACCCAAGTATCTGGATTGGCAGTCCATCGACATAACCACTGGGCTATCTCAGTGACAACAAAATGTTATAATCTAGTAGTAATATCTTACTCGCTGTACACGGCCTTGTCATCTTGAATATCCGCAAAAAAAGAACAAATACCAAATTGTAAACAACTTACAGCATTGAAACGTACCCACTCTGACGTCACCAAGGGCTGTGAAGTTTTTTCGTCTCTAAGGGCGTTGCTATGGGGTTATTTCGATTTGGGGGGATCAGACAAAAAAAACAACAACTGATTTTGAAACCTTTAGTAGTTCTCTTCTAATATAAAATGGTATTAAAACTGTATTTCTAAATAAATCAAACCCGGCATAAGGTCTTTAAATGATCCACCACAGTGAGGCGGGTCCCAGGTGATTAGAGGAGAACAATCAGACGAGGAGCGAGTGTGAGATTAGTGCCTGAACGCTCTGGGAAACAGTGAGAAACTGGGCCACACTTCCGAGACTCCGGGGAGCCGTCGGTCACAGCGAGGCGGAGCAGACAGGAAGACTAAAACCGGGAGTGCGGATTAGTAAACGATAGTAATATGACGAACGATGATGTTATTTTCAAAGCTGCTGACTGTCTACACGAGCCAGGGGAAGACTGAACACTTTAGACTCAGTCCTGGGTCTACAGCCTCAGTCCTGGGTCTACAGCCTCAGTCCTGGGTCCACAGCCTCAGTCCTGGGTCTACAGCCTCAGTCCTGGGTCTACAGCCTCAGTCCTGGATCTACAGCCTCAGTCCTGGATCTACAGCCTCAGTCCTGGGTCTACAGCCTCAGTCCTGGGTCTACAGCCTCAGTCCTGGGTCTACAGCCTCAGTCCTGGGTCTACAGCCTCAGTCCTGGATCTACAGCCTCAGTCCTGGGTCTTCAGTCTCAGTCCTGGGTCTACAGCCTCAGTCCTGGGTCTACAGCCTCAGTCCTGGGTCTACAGCCTCAGTCCTGGGTCTACAGCCTCAGTCCTGGGTCTACAGCCTCAGTCCTGGTCTACAGCCTCAGTCCTGGATCTTCAGTCTCAGTCCTGGATCTACAGCCTCAGTCCTGGATCTACAGCCTCAGTCTTGGATCTACAGCCTCAGTCCTGGATCTACAGCCTCAGTCCTGGATCTACAGTCTCAGTCCTGGATCTACAGCCTCAGTCCTGGATCTACAGCATCAGTCTTGGAACTACAGCCTCAGTCCTGGATCTACAGCCTCAGTCCTGGGTCTACAGCCTCAGTCCTGGATCTACAGCCTCAGTCCTGGATCTACAGCATCAGTCTTGGAACTACAGCCTCAGTCCTGGATCTACAGCCTCAGTCTTGGATCTACAGCCTCAGTCCTGGATCTACAGCCTCAGTCCTGGATCTAGGCAAGGCAAGGCAAGTTTATTTATATAGCACAATTCATACACAAGGCAATTCAAAGTGCTGAACAAAACAAGAAAGCATTAAAATCATAAATTATCACAGAACATTAAAAAGAAAGATAAAAATATAAAATCCCTCAGTTGTATGCACAGTTAAACAGAACCGTCTTTAACCTGGTTTTAAACATTGTCAGAGAGGAGGCCTGTCTCACATCTTCAGGAAGACTGTTCCAGATTTTAGCAGCATTAATCTGAAAAGCAGCCTCCCCATGTTTAGTTCTGACTCTGGGCACTAACAGGAGTCCAGTCCCTGTGCTCCTCAGAGTCCGGGCTGGTTCATATGGGACTAACATGTCACTAATATATTTTGGTGCGAGGCTATGGAGAGACTTGTACACAAGCAGAGCTGTTTTAAAGTCTATTCTCTGAGCCACAGGAAGCCAGTGCAGAGACCTGAGGACTGGACTAATGTGGTCGTACTTCCTGGTTCTTGTCAGGACTCGAGCTGCTGCATTTTGAATGTACTGCAGCTGTTTTACAGCCTGTTTGGACAGACCTGTGAGCAGGCCATTGCAGTAGTCTAACCTACTGGAGACAAATGCATGGATAAGAATCTCCAAGTCTGCTTTAGACACTATGTTTTTGATCCTGGCAATGTTTTTTAGATGGTAAAAAGCTGCTGATGTTACTGATTTGATGTGGCTTTTAAAATTTAAGTCTGAGTCCAGTATTACCCCTAGATTTCTGACCTTGTTTGAAGGTTTTAGGGAGAGAGACTGTAGGTGACAGATGACGCTCTCTCTTTGTTTCTGGGGACCAAAGACAATCATTTCAGTTTTGTCTGCGTTTAGCTGAAGGAAGTTGTTTTGCATCCACTCACTGATCTGTTGGATACAGTGAAGGAGTGAGTCCACTGGTCCATGTTCTCCTGTCCATGTTCTACAGCCTCAGTCTTGGATCTACAGCCTCAGTCCTGGATCTACAGCCTCAGTCCTGGGTCTACAGCCTCAGTCTTGGATCTACAGCCTCAGTCCTGGATCTACAGACTGAGGCTGTAGATCCAGACAGGTAGTAGAGTGCAGCTGTATGTCGTATACTGTATGTAGTGTATTTTAAGCAGAAACGTTCAGTGACAATTATACATTTGCTCAAAGGCACAATCCCACCTTCATTTTGCTCAAACTCGTCCAGCACCTTGTCCAGGTTGAAGGCTTCGGCCTGAAAGTAATTCTCCATGAGTCAGGAAGCTCCGCCTGCTGCTGCGTGTGCCCCTAGACCAGGAAGAAGATGGAAATACCACACATTATGAACGTCATGAGGGGATGAGACCAGAGAGAGACCAGAGAGAGACCAGAGAGAGATCAGACAGAGATCAGAGAGAGACCAGAGAGAGACCAGAAAGAGATCAGACAGAGATCAGAGAGAGACCAGAGAGAGACCAGAGAGAGACCAGAGAGAGACCAGAGAGAGATCAGAGAGAGACTAAAGAAAGACCAGAGAGAGACTAAAGAAAGACCAGCGAGAGACCAAAGAAAGACCAGAGAGAGACTAAAGACAGACCAGAGAGAGACTAAAGACAGACCAGAGAGACACTAAAGACAGACCAGAGAGAGACCAGAAAGGGAGACCAGAGCGAGAGGCCAGAGATAGACCAGAGAAGGAGATCAGAGAGACAGAAAGAGACTAAAGAGAGACTAAAGAGAGACCACAGAGAGAACAGTCAATTGTCTTAATATTATCTGAACCTTGAGAGTGAAATTGACAAATGTAAGATTCTAAGATCCTAGTCCTGGATGTATACGGAGAGCCTCCTTAAAAAGCAAAAATGTCTTTAATTCAGCATCTATGTCCTTGCGCTTTCATGTGTCCTTCGTCCAAAGGCTGACAATAAAAACGTCTTATTCAAGAAAATAGATCGAGGGTGAAGTTATTTATAGACTGAGCATCCTTATGTAACTTACCCAAAGTCCTCTGACCAACCTTCATCCTTTTCTATTTATAACTCAGTGACATGGCTCCAAAAAGTCATATATCACATGTCGTTATTCTAGAGACCAGAGAGGAACCAGAGAGAGACCAGAGGGAGACCAGAGAGAGACCAGAGAGAGACCAGAGAGAGACCAGAGAGAGACCAGAGAGAGACTAGAGGGAGACCAGAGAGGAACCAGAGAGAGACCTGAGGGAGACCAGAGAGAGACCAGAGGGAGACCAGAGAGAGACCAGAGAGAGACCAGAGAGAGACCAGAGAGAGACCAGAGGGAGACCAGAGAGAGACCAGAGAGGAACCAGAGAGATACCAGAGAGAGACCAGAGAGAGACCAGAGAGAGACTAGAGGGAGACTAGAGGGAGACCAGAGAGGAACCAGAGAGACCTGAGGGAGACCAGAGAGAGACTAGAGGGAGACTAGAGGGAGACCAGAGAGGAACCAGAGAGACCAGAGAGAGAGACCAGAGAGAAACCAGAGAGAAACCAGAGAGACCAGAGGGAGACCAGAGAGAGACCAGAGAGAGACCAGAGAGAGACCAGAGAGAGACCAGAGAGAGACCAGAGGGAGACCAGAAAGGGACCAGAGGGAGACCAGAAAGAGACCAGAGAGAGACCAGAGAGAGACTAGAGGGAGACCAGAGAGAGACCAGAGGGAGACCAGAGAGAGACCAGAGGGAGACCAGAGAGAGACCAGAGGGAGACCAGAGAGAGACCTGAGGGAGACCAGAGAGAGACCTGAGGGAGACCAGAGAGAGACTAGAGGGAGACTAGAGGGAGACCAGAGAGGAACCAGAGAGACCAGAGGGAGACCAGAGAGGAACCAGAGAGAGAGCAGAGGGAGACCAGAGAGAGACCAGTGGGAGACCAGAGAGAGACCAGAGAGAGACCAGTGGGAGACCAGAGAGGGACCAGAGAGAGACCAGAGAGAGAGTAGAGAGAGAAATGAGAGGGACCAGAGAGAGACCAGAAAGATCCAAGAAAGAGACCAGGGAGATTTTACTTAAGTCTTTAGATTTATTTTTCCGTGAGAAAAATAACAAGAGAGAACCCCCTCACTCAGCCTCAATCAGCTCTCAGTAAAAGATAGAAAAAGTTAGGTACTCGAGCTTTAATGTCAGTAAGTGCGTGGGTAAGTCCCACTCTCCCACCGCTCATAAAAAAACGCCATAATCTTTAACAAATTCACTATTTCTAAACCGGGGAAAGGGAACTAAAAATGTCCCAAATGTATGTGTTGGAAAGTGCAGAGATACAGAGTAGCATCTGTTGAAACTGAGAAGAGAGAAACCCTCCGCTCTCACCTGCTCAGAGGGTCCTCAGCAGGTTTCAGCAACTCCTGTCAATCTGGCAACCGCCCCGCGCCCACACACCTGCGAACAGAGACCAGAGCAGACCAGATGAGAGAGGCCGCGTGGAGATGAGCAGTCAGAACGTCACATTGTAAACATTGTAGTCAAAATAAAAGGGTCAAAACAAACAAACAACTTCAGAATATTTGTACATTCATCACTCGATCCAACAGTGTCTGACATGAGGTTAAACCAACAGATATCTCGAGGCCTGTTCCCACTGCGGTCCCAAGTGTTAAAATGTAGTCGACGCGGGAAGGGTTGGCATGTTTTTAGACCTGTGTCGGCTTTTAACCGAGGGAAAGATGGGAATGTGTCAAAAGAAAAGGTTCAGAGGATGTCTCAGTTTACCCAGGAATCACAATAACATGGACTATGGCAGGTTTATCATCCACATGGAGAAATATAGACCATTTCAAATATATATCTCTCTGGTCTCTCTCTGGTCTCTCTCTGGTCTCTCTCTTTGGTCTCTCTCTCTGGTCTCTCTCTGGTCTCTCTCTAGTCTCTCTCTGGTCTCTCTCTAGTGACTAGAGAGAGACCAGAGAGAGACCAGAGAGAGACTAGAGTCTAGTCTCTCTCTGGTCTCTCTCTGGTCTCTCTCGCGCTGGCCTCTCTCTAGTCTCTCTCTGGTCTCTCTCTGGTCTCTCTCTGGTCTCTCTCGCGCTGGCCTCTCTCTGGTCTCTCTCTGGTCTCTCTCTGGTCTCTCTCTTGTCTCTATCTAGTCTCTCTCGCTCTGGCCTCTCTCTAGTCTCTCTCTGGTCTCTCTCTGGTCTCTCTCTGGTCTCTCTCGCGCTGGCCTCTCTCTAGTCTCTCTCTGGTCTCTCTCTGGTCTCTCTCTGGTCTCTCTCGCGCTGGTCTCTCTCTGGTCTCTCTCTGGTCTCTCTCTGGTCTCTCTCTGGTCTCTCTCTTGTCTCTATCTAGTCTCTCTCGCTCTGGCCTCTCTCTAGTCTCTCTCTGGTCTTTCTCTGGTCTCTCTCGCGCTGGCCTCTCTCTAGTCTCTCTCTCTCTGGTCTCTCTGTAGTCTCCCTCTCTCTCTGGTCTCTCTCGCGTCTCTCTCTCTCTGTTCTCTCTCTGTTCTCTCTCTAGTCTCCCTCTCTCTCTGGTCTCTCTCACGCTGGACTCTCTCTAGTCTCCCTCTCTCTCTGGTCTCTCTCACGCTGGACTCTCTCTAGTCTCTCTCTCTAGTCTCCCTCTCTCTCTGGTCTCTCTTGCGCTGGCCTCTCTCTAGTCTCTCTCTCTCTGGTCTCTCTCTAGTCTCCCTCTCTCTCTGGTCTCTCTGTGGTCTCTCTCTCTCTGGTTTCTCTCTCCTTATGCTAAGTATTGTCCCTTGTGTGTTTCTGCCAAATTACACATTCTAAATCCATCCCATTATTGATCCGCCTGTTCCTGATTCAGAAGTGGACGTGCTCAGTGTGTCCTACTCTCTCTGGTGACCTTGAAGGGGCCTGATGTGTTTATGGGCCGTGAAAGACTTGAGTCCAGGGTCGTTCCCATGAGGACTGAAGACGGGGATTACACCAAAGACCAAACAACGCTGTAAACATCGCACCACCTCCGGAAAAACCCTGAGTCGACTCCATCCAGAGCAGCAGAGTCAGACCCGTGTCACAGAGTATTTATAGTCGGGCTCAGATATTGACATTGTTTTTGAACAAAACTCAGCAGAAAATGTAATAAAATATCAATAATGGATGAAAATGGAACCATGAAGAACCATCACATTAGTCCTGGTCTCAGGTCTCTGCTTCTGAGGCTCCGAGAATAGACTTTAAAGCTGCTTTGCTTAAATGTACAAGTCTCTCCATGGCCTCGCACAGGGACTGGCCTCCTGCTGGGACTCGGAGGAGCACAGGGACCGGTCTCCTGCTGGGACTCTGAGGAGCACAGGGACTGGCCTCCTGCTGGGACTCGGAGGAGCACAGGGACCGGTCTCCTGCTGGGACTCTGAGGAGCACAGGGACTGGCCTCCTGCTGGGACTCTGAGGAGCACAGGGACTGGCCTCCTGCTGGTCCCAGAGTCAGGACTAAACATGAGGAGGCAGCGTTTCAGATTAATGCAGCTAAGTAAGTAAGTAAGTAGTAAGTAATATTTATTTATATACTGCCTTTTCACTGTAGATCTGAGTCTCAAAGCGGTTTACAATTGTTAATTATGGGCATTTGTCTCTCACTCCACACAGAGATGGGAGGGGCCAGTACAGGAGGCGCATGCCAGAACTATTGTACATATTTTTAGTGGTAGGGGAAACCGGAGTACACAGAGGAAACCTACGCAGACACGGGGAGAACATGCAAACTCCACTCAGAAAGGCCCTGGTCCGACCGGGATTCAAACCAAGGACCTTCTTGCTGAGAGGCGAGAGTGCTAACCACTCAGCCACCGTGCCGCCCTGAAACCTAAACCTAAAGCTAGCTAAAACCTTGAACAGTCTTCCTGATAATGTGAGACAGGCCTCTTCTTTGACAATATTCAAATCCAGGTTTAAAAAATTTGCTCTTTTTGATTATTTATGATGTCAATGCCTTGTGTGATTTTGTTTCTATCCTGTGTGAGATTTCATAACACTTTGAAGCAACTTTTGTTAAAGTTAAACTCATCATTCTATCAATGTGCAGAAGCCAGTACTTTTCCCTTGTTTTGTCTATCTGAAGGCCAAGCTACATGGCACTGTGGCAGCTGCTGATTGGAGGTCTCCATGCCTCCGCTCTGTATAATACACTTGCATTCTGTTGTATCTGTGTTCGTGCTGTCTCTACCATCGACAATAAAACATATCTTCTGTCTGAATGAAAGACACGATCCCAGACTATGTCATCTTCTTCACCTGTTTAGTTCAGCCCTTTTGAGTTGCCGTGTGTATGACCTGTGCTATACAGATAAACAGGCCTCTCACAGG